ATCCAAGGCCTGCTGCATGGCCAGCGTGGGAAAATCCAGTTAGAAGCATTCCTGTTTTAGCAGAAAAATCACATGCCAGCAGATGCAGGGACCACATTTGAGGACATTTGACTCTGTTTATGAGTTTCAAACAGCGCCCAGGGGACACCCAATGAACTTGCCGTGCTGGTCTCTGAAATGTCCAGAGGCTCCCTTTGAGGACCAGGACACAGACAGGGATGCCCATTATGCTCACAGACCCTCGGGTGGGAAGAGAGTGATTCTCTCCTACCAGGACACAGACAGGGATGCCTGCCGTGTCCATAGACCCTCGGGTGGTAAAGGAGTGATTCTCTCCTACCACAGTAGAATGTTGGCTCTGCAGACAGGTGGATCCCTGGCTCTGGGCTCTGATGCTCTGCCCATCTGTAGGGCGTCCAAGTCTCCCAAGAGCCAGGCCTGGGTGGTAGAGATGCGAGTTCGGGTGTGTAGATGGGTGAGCAGGGGTGAGTGTCCCTGCTTCCTGGCACTGGTGCCCATGGGTCTTCCTCACCATGAGGCCATGCCTGCCCACAGGTGCCTCGGATGGCTCTATGCTGGCGAGTGGCCGTGGACCTGGGGTAAGGACGCTGGACTCCACATGGCAGTTGGCAGATTCTGCACTTCATCCAGGAAGGATGGCCGAGGACAGAAGAAGAAAGCCAGCAGCTTTGTCTCTGCAGACCCACGACCATACACAGCAGTGAAAACCATGGGGTATGAGTCAGCACGCACGGCTGGTGCACCCAAGGCCAGGCGGACGTGGATCAGTCGCCCTCTGCTGGACTCCGGGACTGACCAGCACAGGGCTGACCCCGGCAGGAACACCTGTAGAACCTGGACAGCGGCACCGGGGATTTCCCAGCTGACACTGGCCGTGGGCACCCCAGCGAGCCCGTCTCAAGCGTGAGCCCTGCTGAATGTGTTCTGAAGCATCCGATGCGAATGCAGAGCCAGCACGTGCCCACAGGCCCTGTGGCAGGGAGTGCCCAGCAGTGCCGGGAAGACACCCACCCGCGGACCCCTGGCCCAGGCAGAGCCCTAAATGAGGCCCTGCAGGGCGGATGCAGGCTCTGCCTGACCTGGATGGAGGGCTGGTATGCCTGCATTTAGGAAGCGCTGTTCAGGACATTACAGGAGGGACAGGCTTCCAAAACGGGACAGAAGTCACTCGCACAGAAGAAAGTTGTGCGGTAAAGAGGTTTTGTGTCTGTGAGGGTGCTGTGAAAAGTGCCTGGAGTGGTCACTCCTCCGACCCCGGCAGGAAGGACTCAGGGTGGGGGCACCATGAGGCTGTTTCTCCACCGAAACATTGCCCTGCGTTACCACATCTTTGCAAATGCCCGAATGTCACCAAGTGCTGAGCTGACATTTAGACCTCCTTACGGTTTCCTTGTGGGAAATGGCCCAGCTCTGGAAGGGGCCTGCCCTATGGGAAGGGCACAGGGTGCTGAGGGCTGCCGCCTGCGGGAAGCCTGCCCGGGCTCAGCTCCTCCACCTCAGCCTGTCCCAGGCCAGATGCCTGCTGCAGGGTGCAGCAGCTGTGTTGCGACTGGAGGCAGGTGCGCTGGCGTGGGCGGGAAGCTGGGCGGGGCCTGGAGCGGTCTCTGGCCTAGAAGGTGCAGGCTCTCTGAGATGGGCTGGGGGGGGGGAGGGGGAGGGTGGAGCTGGCTGCCCCAGGCAGGCACGCAGGGCTGACGATTTTGTGTGGAGCGGTGTGGTTTTGAATGAGCCACACGTCCCCTGCCTGTGTGCCAGGCTCACGGGCCGTGGGGAGAGGTGTGAGCTGCGTGAGTCTCTGGTCTCCTCCATCCTGGCTCCCCATGCGTGGGGGCCTGGGGGCAGCAGCTGCGGCTTCCTGATGCCTGCAGACTCCACAGGACGGCGGCCCTTGTTTGGCCCTGTTCCTGCCTAACAGCAGGCTTCAGGCAGCGTGCAGGCGACCCTTCTGGAACGGGATTGGGGTGAATTTCATAGACTCATGTGTCCAGAAATCAGCCACGGGGGAAGACCTCTTCCCTGTGTCCACGACAGTCCTCAGGTGCAGAAAATAACACCAGGAGGTTTTACTCTGTGTTTCTGAGCAGGGCGGAGCTCCCTACAAGTTCTCACAGGTGCGCCTCCTGCCCTTGACCTGTGTGGACACGTCCCATGTCCACGTGATCTGCAGGAAAGGGGTCTGTCAGCACGTGCAACTCCACTCATGAAGGCAGTCGGCTTTGGGCTGGGATCCAGCTTGGAGGACCTCCCGTGATGCGTGACCTGTGCTGCTGTGCGCGGTGCAGCCCTGTACCGCAGACCCTCACACTTGGCCGTGTTTTCAGGGCCTCAGGACTCTGAGTCACATGGAGTGTGCCTGGGAACACGAGTGTTTCATGGACTTCTTGCCTTTCATCCGGCACATCTGAGGTTCCTCTCGGTGTTTGGGTTTCTGTCCTGGGTGCCCAGGACCCCTGACACCCACCCAGTTCTCTGTACCTGTGCACATCTGCCTGCTTACTCTCAGCACCTGACACCTCTGTGAGGGTCTGTTCCCTGCCACTGCACCCCAGGCTGATCTCCAGCTGAGCGCACCCCAACAGTTAAGGGGGCCTGGGGTAGAGGACAGCCCTAATGTGGACACAGGCTGGCCGCTGGGGTGTGTGGGGACCCTGTCCTCAGCCCCACGTGCAGTGAGGACACAGGCTGGCCCCGGGGGTATGTGGGGACATTTGTCCTCTGTGCAGTGTGGATACAGACTGGCCCAGACACCTGCAGGCAGCCTGGTGGGGGGGCTTGCCTGCCATCTCTCCCCCTCCCACACTCACAGCTGCCGTGACCAGCAGGGTCCCGGGTACCCCTGCGATAGCCTTGCTGTCATGGGTCCTGTGGGACACAGGCATGTTTTGGCCCCAGCCTAGAGCTAGGTTAATCTTGGAGAACCCAGCCTGGGGGCTGTGCAGGTTTCAGGCTGTAGCCCTTCCGGTGCATGGCGGCATGCCGTTGTGGGCACAGCTGCTGACATTCCTGTCTGGGGACAAGTCTCAGCCATGTGAGCAGCCTTTGTGTGGGGAGTGTTGCTCTTCCAGCCTGCAGCCTAGGGTCCCCAGCTCAGCAGCTGTCCTTGTGCTCAGAGCTGCCTGAGCTTAGGCGTGAGGCCTGGAAGTACACAAGGTGACCCCTGCCATGTCCCTGTGCCCTGAGGCAGGATACCGTGACCCTGAGATGGGAACTGGGGGTGCAGGTCCTTGCCTCTCCAGCTCACAGGTACCTTCTCCCCAGAGGCCTTGCTGCCCACAGGGGGTCTGCTTGTGCCAAGGGGACTTTGGGGACCCCCGGCCCATACCCACACTGGCCACAGCACACCAGCTGGCCATCCTGGCTCAGTGTCTCCAGCCATGTGCTGTGCAGCATGTGTACGGACTCCAGCCGGTGGGAACATGCCTTGGGCTCTGCTTGACGACACCCTGGGCTTCTGGGGCACTTGAAGCCTGGCTCCCCTGCAGCTCTGGGCTCAGCCCCAACAGCTCACATGCCATGCTGGCCCTGAGCACCATGGGGAGTCCTTCCAGTGTGCCAGTCAGTCGGCTCCTTGTGCCCACTGCACCTGAGTGTGAAGAAGATCGTTCTTTCTTCTCTGTGTCCTTCCTGGCCTCCCCCTCCAGGGTCTTTTTCAGAGATTCCTTTCTCCCACCTGCCCACCTGCTCCTTTCCGCACCTCAGGCCCTCTGCTTTAGCATCCCTGCAGCCTTGCTGGGCTCCTACCTGGGCCTCCTTTGGGCCTGGTTCCCAACCCTCAGCACCCTGGCCTCCTGTCCTTGGGGAGCTGACCGGGAAGGTCAAGGCTGGTACTGCTCCCTCAGGGGCCTGGGTCTGGGATCCTCAGGGCAGGGATCGACCCTTGGCAGGGTACATGCATATCCTCCCTGCCCCCTGGCACCTCCCCCCTGCCTTCCAAGCCCTGGCAGGGCCAAGGAGAGGCCATGCTGGTTGTGTGCAGAGCAGGGGAAGGGAGGGGCTTTGGAAGCCATTACCCCAGGTTGTCCCCAGAGGAACCTGACCTGCGTCACTGCTGGGTCCTGCCAGGGGAGTACCTCCCTGAACCTTTCCCTACAGAAAGCGGCCGGGAGCCAGCCCAGTGGCCACCATGCCCTTGAGGGGCTTTTGAAGGGCATCAGTAAGAGGGATGGGGCATGATGTGGGGTGTTAAGTGTCTGCAGATGCCTGGCTCCTGTGGGTCAGCTGGGGTGGGGAGGCTTGTTTCCTGTGATGCTAATGTCAGAGGACTGGAGCCCCACCCACATCCAGTTGGGCACCCCTTCTTCCCGAAGGCCGAGGGTCTGGGTGGATGTAGAGCCCAGATGTGGCATCACCTATGTGGGGACACAAATCTGTCTGAGCACAGAGCAGGCAGGAGGTCAGGACCAGTTGGCCCCTGGATGGAGCAGATGAAATGGGGGGTTGGGGAGACTTGAGAAGAGGTGACAGACTGAAGACTAGGGCCTTGGCTCAGATCAGAGGGATGGAGCTGCAGGGGAACCAGGAGCCGGTTCTAGGCCTCCCCCTGGGTTCTGCTGGGAGCTCCTCAGTGGCCTAGGAGTTCAGGAGACCCTACTGGGACCTGCAGAGGCCATCCGTACTGGCTGCAGGAGAGCAGGGAATGAGCCAGGACCCTCTCTAAGAGGCCACAGGCCCACTGCAGCTGGGGACGGAGGAGGGTGGGGGTCCTGGAGTGACAGCTGGGACACATGAGCAGGTGGGGAAGAGCATGTTGGATGTGGTCTCCTTGTGCCCTGGGTTCCTGCACCCTTCTCTGCCCTGTCCATCTGTGCCCTTGGCCTATCCCCTGTGCTGTGCGTGTGTGTGTGTGTGTGTGTGTGTGTGTGTGTGTGTGTGTGTGTGTGTGTGTGAGAGAGAGAGAGAGAGAGAGAGAGAGCTAGCGAGCGAGCACGAGTGGGCTCTGGCCTCGGGCATGGCCCTCATCCTGGCATCTCTGTACCCAGGCTAACGGGCAGTGAGCCCCTGACCATCCTCCCGCTGACCCTGGAGCCAGAGGCCGCTGCCCAGGCACACTACAAGGCCTGCGACCGTCTGAAGCTGGAGCGCAAGCAAAGGCGCATGTGCCGCAGAGACCCCGGTGTGGCCGAGACACTGGTGGAGGCGGTGAGCATGAGCGCACTTGAGTGCCAGTACCAATTCCGGTTTGAGCGCTGGAACTGTACCTTGGAGGGACGCTACCGGGCCAGCCTGCTCAAGCGAGGTGAGCACACTAGAGGCAGGACCTTCTGGGCCAAGCTGCTCCCCTAGAACAATGCGCCTTGGCTGGGTCCCAGGGCACCTGGGGGTGGGGTGCAGAGATGGGAGTGCTAGATCCCCCTCCTTACCCAGTCTCTGTGGCTCATCCTCCGCTCCATTCACCCTTCTACGCTGACCCATCCCTCCCTCCCCCACCACTGCACCCACCTGTAACTCCACCTTCCTCCCAGCCCTGCCCATGCTTTCAGGCCCTCCAGGGCCCCCTGCCCAGTGCCTCCTGCTGTGTCCTGCACCTGCCCTGCCCCTTCTTCCCACCCCACCCCACTCCTGCTCCTCCCCGCCTCCTGACCTGCCTCTTCCACCTGCCCCGCCCCTCCTGGGGAACAGTTGTTGGCAGACCAAAGAGCATTTGGGAAGCTTTGACGGGGCCCAAGGCAGGTCTGATGGCTCTTGCCACATGGTGGTGACCAAGGCCCAGTGGCTGGGCATGAGCGGCAGAGGCCAGCTGGTGCCATGAGCAGGAAGCCTTCCTTCTCATGTCTCCTTGGGACTCTGATCTGAGACTCTCAACAGCCTATTTAAAAACTGGGGCACCTGGGGGCACCTGGGTGGCTTAGTCGGTTAAGCATCCAACTTCCGCTTGGGTCATGATCTCGTGGTTCGTGGGTTCGAGCCCCGGGTCGGGCTCTGTGCTGACTGCCAGCTCAGAGCCTGGAGCCTGTTTCGGAGTCTGTGTCTCCCTCTCTCTCTGACCCTCCCCTGCTCACGCTGTCTCTCTCTCTCTCTCCTAGAAATAAATAAAAATATTAAAAATAAAAATAAAAATAAAACCTGGGGCACCTGGGTGGTTCAGTTCGTTGAGCGTCAGACTTTGGCTCAGGTCATGATCTCATGGTTCATGAGTTTGAGTCCCTCATCGGGTTCTGTGCTGACAGCCCGGAGCCTGGAGCCTGCTTCGGATTCTGTCTCTCTGTCTCTCTCTCTCTGCTCCTCCCCTGCACTCTCTCTCTCAAAAATAAAAATATTTAAAAAAAAAAAAAAAGAACTGGGGACGTGAGGCCCAGGGCTGGGTAGGGTGGGCTCGCCAAGGTCCCAGGGCGAGTCTGGTGGGTCAGGGAGGCAGTCTCTGATCTGTGGGCAGAGCCTAGATCTCTGTGCACTTTGAATTCTCTCTACCGAGACACATCATGTGCCTGAGGCATATAGGAGCTCCTCTTACCCCCAGGTGTCCATGGCAGCCCAGGCAGGTATGCCCCCCCACCCGAGGTGCGCAGAGCCTGCGTGCGGTCAGGATACAGGGCTCCAGTTGGCGTGCTGTTGGGACTCGGGGCTCGAGCTGGACTGCCGTGATTACAGTTTGGCCACACCTGAGTCAGGTGGGGGTTGCTCCCTCCTGCTCACCAGTCCTGCCTTCCCTGCATCCCCACAGGCTTCAAGGAGACTGCCTTCCTCTACGCCATCTCCTCTGCCGGCCTGACGCACGCGCTGGCCAAGGCTTGCAGCGCGGGGCGCATGGAGCGCTGCACGTGTGACGAGGCCCCTGACCTGGAAAACCGGGAGGCCTGGCAGTGGGGTGGCTGCGGAGACAACCTCAAGTACAGCAGCAAGTTTGTCAAGGAGTTCCTGGGCCGGCGCTCTAGCAAGGATCTGCGAGCCCGTGTGGACTTCCACAACAACCTCGTGGGTGTGAAGGCAAGCTGGGCGGGGTGTGGGGCAGCGTTTGGGCATGGAGCCAAGCATGGGCGGGGTGGGAGGCATGGGCCAGATGAAGGGTGGGGCAAGGTGAGGGGCGGAGTGGGGTGCAGGGAAGGGCATAGGGGCGGGGCATGGGGCCCGGCATATGTACAGGGTGGGGCATGTGGGTGGAGCGGGGCGAGGGGCATGGGCGGGCCAGGGCAGGGCATGGGCTCTGGGAGGGCATGGAGCCAGGCATGGGCATGGGCGGGGTGGGAGACATGGGTGGGGAAGGCGGGACATAGGTACGGAGCAGGGTATGGGCACAGCAACAGGTGCCCAGGGCGGGGACAGTGGTGGCCAGGGCTGGGGGCGGGGAGGAGGCACAGTATTGCTGCCTCCAGGTCTCTGTTCCCACCATGTAGTGCCAGCAGCCTGGAGCTGCTGAGAGTCTCCCTGCCTGTGAGGCTTGTTTTCTTACAGGGATACTGGTTGTTGTGGAGGGGGTGGGAGGAGAGACGTGTAAGCTCTTTAGCTGGGCCCTTCTGGGTGCTGCTGGCCGCAGGCTGTTTGGGCCTGGGGGTACCTGGCTCCTGCCCATCCTTCACCCTCCCTGCAGCCCCTCAGCTTCTGGGCCAACACCAGTGGAGGAGGCCATGAGTGTCATCAGACCCATTGTGGACGGAGCACCCTGTCCCCTTAGTTCCCATACAACCTGAACCACCAAAGGCCCCCCGAGGCTCCATCCAGCCGTGGGGATGATCAGGGGCTCTGCATGCTCGACCCGCAGCCCCCAGGATGTGAAGTCCCAGCCTGGGAGGGGCCAGGTAATTAGAGCCAGCTCTGCTCTGAGCCCCTCTTTATTGAGAAACCAGACTTCTGAGTCCTGCACTTATTAAAGAATCAATTTCCCCCTTTTTCTTCGGAGCCCTTGTCCCTCCTTCTGCCCTTTGTGGAGGGGTGAGGGCAGATTAAATCCCCAAGGCGAGGCTATTTCTTTTCTTTTGCATTCTCTCCTTTGTAAGCTATTAATGAAAAGTCAGAATATGGAAAGTGCTCCATTAGCTCTGCCTGGCCTGGGTAAGCAGCGTTTTAATTAAATTTGTCCGGGTTTCTCAGCAAAGTGTCATTAAATGTGACTCTTCTGTTGCCTGGCCAGAGGGCAGCTACATTTCCTAATCCCCCTCAAGCCAGCCGGCCCTCCCTGGGGGCATCATGGGAGCTCAGGGCTATCCTGGGATGGGGCCCACTAGGGCAGGCCTCTGCTCTCTGCTGCCAGGGACCCCAATGTGGGTGGTCAGGCAAGAGGCGCCTTAGGGCAGCTCTGTGCGTGTGTGCAGAAGTGGGGACACTGCCCCCCCCGCGTGTGTCTGCAAGTGCGGGTACCACCCCTCCTTGCGTGTGTGCGTGTGCAGAAGTGGGGCTACTACCCCTCCCCTCGTGTATGTGAGAAAGTTTGGGTACCGCTGCTCCCCAAGTGTGTGCGCATGTGCAGAAGTGGGGGTGCCACCCCTCCCCAAGCGTGTGTGTGTGCTTGTGTGTGTGGAAGTGGGAGGTACTGCCCCTCCTCGCATGTGTGCATGTGTATCTGCGTGTGCGGAAGTGTGGGTACCACCTCTCTGGTGTGTGTGCACATGTGTGTTCATGTGTGCAGAAGTACAGGGACCGCCCCTCCCCTCTGGGGCGACCTGGAGGATCCAGGGGCCAGTCCTGCCACTTGGGCCAGCTAATTTGTTTGTCCTCACTTCTCCAGGAAGCAGGCTAGCAGGCTATTTAGCCCAGGCTGGGGGTTCCTTCTGGGGCGTTGACAGCAGGGCTAAAGGGGGCCCTGTTGAGCACCTGCAGAGGGAGGGAATGTCTCCACGGGGCCACAGGTGCTGCGGTGGTCACTCTGGAAGCCGTGGTACTAGGTATAGGGCTTCTGTCTGGGGACATCCGTGGCCTGGAGGGAGGGGACCAGGTACATGGGCCGGGCAACCTGGGTGATGGGTAGTAGTGTTCCTCCAGTCTGGGCTTGGGTCCGGGGGAGCTGTGTGGTCCAGCCCCTCTGGGGATTGTCTGCAGGGGCTGTGCATGGACTCTCAGTGTGGCCCTCATACCCAGCTTCCCCACCCCCACCAGGTAATCAAGGCTGGGGTGGAGACAACATGCAAGTGCCACGGCGTGTCAGGTTCCTGCACCGTGCGGACGTGCTGGAGGCAGCTGGCACCCTTCCATGAGGTGGGCAAGCGCCTGAAACACAAGTATGAAACAGCACTCAAAGTGGGCAGCACCACCAACGAGGCCACGGGGGAGGCTGGTGCCATCTCGCCGCCTCGCGGCCGGGCTGCAGGGACAGGAGGCAGTGACCCGCTGCCCCGCACGCCGGAGCTTGTGCACCTGGATGACTCGCCCAGCTTCTGCTTGGCCAGCCGCTTCTCCCCGGGCACCGCCGGCCGCAGGTGCCACCGGGAGAAGAACTGCGAGAGCATCTGCTGTGGGCGTGGCCACAACACACAGAGCCGGGTGGTGACGAGGCCCTGCCAGTGCCAGGTGCGCTGGTGCTGCTACGTGGAGTGCAGGCAGTGCACCCAGCGCGAGGAGGTCTACACCTGCAAGGGCTGAGCCCCGGGGCTGGCCAGGCTGCTGCAGGGATAGAGGCCATGCACCCATTGCGGGGGACTACATTGCAAGGGCTGAGTCCCCGGGATGGGGCCCCCAGCACACTTGGCACGTGGTGATGAGAGCTGGGGGATCAGCTGGGTTTGATGTCTCTGCCTCTTTGTCCCTCCTCTCAAAGACCCAGAGGCAGGAGGTGGCCCTGGTCTGGCCCCTGCATCCCCTCTGTCCACGCCCCCCCACCCCATGACCTGAGAGCGTTGCACCATGCTTTCCAAGCTGTGTCAATCCCTAAGAGGCCGGTTCCTGCGAGTGGCGCCCCTCCCTGCTCTGGGCTCCCTCTGAGGAGCACCAGGTGCACCTTTGCAGCCACACAGGGTCTCTGTGCGGCCGCCTGTGGGCTGTCCTGCTCCAGCACTGGCTTAGAGAGTCAAACCACTAGGAGAGAGACAGCCTGGTCGCCTAGCTGCGGGCGTCACTGGCGTCCCCTCTGACCTGGAGCACTTCTCTTGGGAGTGATGTTGGTGACTTTTAAATTATTTTTATTTAACTAATATATAATTATTATTTTCTCCATCCCTGCCTTGCCTCAGACTTGCCACTTCCCCTCCTCTGGATGGAGCCCAGTCTGGAGGGTTCCCTTCCTCCCTTCCCTCCACGCCCCTCCTAACCTCTTTGCCTGATCTGCTTTGTCATTTGAAACCACTAAATCAAGAGGGATGTTGCTGTTGTTTTTAAAGTAATAAAGCAGGTTGTGTCTGGCCACTGCCCTCAGGGCTTCTGGAAGCCAGGTCCCTGTAGCCAGCTGCCCCCAGTGAGACTATCCCAGAAAGTGTGTGGACCCTGCTCTGGGAGACTTCAGGCATGCACTCCAGCCACTTCGGGGTAGGTTTTGAGGCCCTGGGTGACAGCCTAGCCAGTGGCCTGCCTCCCCCCTCCCCTGCTGGGGGTGGGCATGGCAGAGGGGAGGGGCCAGCCCATTGGAGGGTTCATTTCCTGACTTGCTTTGTGTCACTGCGGAAGGAGGCAGACATGAGGACAGATGTGGATGGAGAGAATCTGGGGCTAGAATTTGGCAAAAGGTGGGCTGTTTTCTCTGGCCACACTATTGTCTTTGCAGGGAAGGAAAATGAATGGGCTACACTGACCTGGCTTGGTTTGAGTGTGTGTGCATGTGCGTGCATGTATGCATCTGTGTACATATCAGTGTACATGTGTGAGTGTGTTGGGTTTTGTGTGCATACATGTGCATGAGCACACACGTGTGAAGTATGTTTGCGTTTACGTGCATGCATGCGTGCACATGTGTACATGAATGCACCTGCAGGTTTACGCATGAGCACGTGTGTGAGCAAGTTTGATGTGTGTGCATACATGAACCTGTGTAAGCATTGTACGTGTCTGCATGAATGTGTGTGTGAGCACAGGGGGCTGGTATGGCACATGCATCTGTGCTGTGTGCTGTATTCGCGTGTGTGAGCATGCATTGTATGTGTAAACATGTGCACATAGCTATGCATGTGTGCTATATCTGTGATGGTGCATGTGCATGTGTGATGTGCATGCATACATGCGTGTGGGCGACCATGTATCCATGTGTATCTGTGGTGTGTGTGCCTGTTCTGGCTGTGCTGGCGTGGTCAGTGGTCAGCTGGGGTGGGGCTGCTGCCCGGTGCCCTCCCTCAGCATGAGGCTGTCCTTCCCATGTTGGTGTGAACAGCAGCCTTGGCTGCTAGATCCCTTGGCTCGGGGCCTGCCCTGCTCGGGCTCTGTGGCTGTGTTCTGGGTGGGCACAGAGCTGGGTGGTGGTGCAGACACGGGAACTACTGAGTGAGGGGGTTCCTTGGAGTCCCGTGGGCTCCAGGAACCCTGGGGACTGTGTTTAAGAGAAAACCTATTTATGTTGATGTGGGTCTCTTCGTCCCTGTTCTATGGTGTAAATAGTGAAGTCTATTCTGTGGTTCAGAGAACCTCCCGTGAATGCCTGCATGCAGAGAGGGTGGGGGCCAGGACCCAGAGCAGGCAGAGCCACACCTCCCAGGACAAGACTGGAGCTCAGTCACTTCTGGGTCTGGAAAGGCAGCGAGTTGGAGGAAGGATATTTTGTTAACCAGATACCACATTTAGCTCTATGTCATAATATAAAGGGAAGTATTTTTTTAAACAAGGCAGACTGAAAACGTCTGCTGGCTGGTCTGTTTATATATAAACATATATCAGAATATCTTGCTAAGCAAAGGAACTCCTCCTGACGGAGCCTCTCGTCAGCCTGCTGCTCTTCGTGCAGGAGAGAGCCTCTAGAAGAAACTGTGCCCCGGGGTCAGCCTCTCTGGGACAGGGGGCGGGCCACAGGGTGCAGCTACGCTGAGGGCCAGGCAGGTCCCGGCCACCTGCTCTCTGCCAGCCACACACACACGTGGACTCCTGGCTAGGTTCGGGAGGTCCGGGCAGGCTGGGAGGAGAGGGGCATTCACACACACGAGAACTCTCGTGCGAGCCTATCGATTTCTCTACCTCATCTGTATAGCGAGTAGGTGTGTACTCGAGTGACTTGGAGAATGTATTTATTTAACGGCTTCGTGTAACAGAACAGAAACGAAATGGACACTAAATAAATGTATTTTAAATTATAGCCCCATCTGAGTCTGCTGCCTTGAAAGGGGTTCTGGAGGTCCTGAGGAAGGAGGGGGAGGAGGGCCTGAGGGGGGAGAAGGGTCTGAGGGAAGAGAAGAACTTGAGGAGGAAGGTCTGAGGAAGGAAGGGCCCAAGGGAGGAGGACCTGAGGGAGGAGGAGGGCCTGAAGGGGGAGGAGGAATGGGGAGGAGGACCTGAGGCAGGAGTGCCTGAGGGAGTAGGAGGGCCTGATGGAGGAGGAAGGCCTGAGGGAAGAGGAGGACCTGAAAGAGGAGAAGTGTCTGAGAGGGGAGAAGGGTCTGAGTGGGGAGGAGGATCTGAGGAGGAAGAAGTACTTGGAGAGCAGTATTGGAGGGAGGAGTGCTTGGGGAGGAGGGCCTGAGGGAGGAGGGGGAGGAAGACATGAGGGAGGAGAAGGATCTGAGGGAGGAAGGACTGAGGGAGGAGAAGGGTGTGTGTGAGGAAGGCCTGAGGGAGGAGAGGACGAGGGCCTGAGGGAGGAGGATCGGAGGGAGGAGGGCCTGGGAGTAGGGGGGCCTGGGGGAAGTGCCTGAAGGAAGAGGAGGGTCTGAGGAAGGAGGGCCTAAGAGAGGAGGGAGTTCTGAGGGAGGAGGACCTGAAAGAAGAGGAAGGTCTGATGAGGGAGGAGGATCTGAGGGGGGAGAAGGGTCCGATGAGGAGGGCCTGATGGGGAAGGGGGCCTGGGGAAGAGGATCTGAGGGAGGAGAGCCTAAGGAAGAGGATGTGAGAGAGGAAGACTTGGGGAGAGGAGGGCCTGAAGGAGAGGGGCCTGAGGGTGGAGGAGGGTTTGAGGGAGGAAGACTTGAGGGAGGAGGAGGTCCTGTACTAGAGTGAGCCTGGGGAGGAGGATCTGGGGGAGGAGAACCTGAGGGGGAGGGGGTGGGAAGAGGACCTGAGGGAAGAGAGCCTAAGGAGGAAGATCTGAGGGAGGAGGTCCTGAGGGGGAGTGGGCCTGGGGAGGAGGATCTGGGGGAGAAGAGCCTAAGGAGGAGGATCTGAGAGAGAAGGTCATGAGGGGGATTTGGTCTGGGGAGGAGGGCCTGAGAAAAGAGGATCTGAAGGGGGTGGGTGCCTGGGGAAGAAGTTCTGAAGGAGAAGATCCTAAGGAGGAGGATCTGAGGGAGGAGGAGGACCTGAGAGGAGGGAGGGCCTGAGTGGGGGAGGGCCTGGGGGAAGATCTGAGGGAGGAAAACCTGAGGGGGGAGGCCCTGGAAGGAGGAGGATCTGAGGGAGGAGGAGGGCGTGAGGGGGGAGGAGGACTTTAGGAGGGAGGGCTTGAGTGGGGCAGGGCCTGGGGGAAGAGGGCCTGGGGGAGGATCTGAGGGAGGAGGACCTGAGGGAGGAGGATCTGAGTGGGGAGGCCCTGGGGGGAGGAGGGCCTGGGGGGAGGATGAAGGAGGAGGACCTGAGCGAGGCAGAGGACCTGAGGGGGAGGAGGGCCTGGGGTCGGCCCCAGGGGGAGGAGGTACAGTCGTTAGAGGGCAGGAAGTGCCTGGCAGGCCCAGCACAGCAGCCTGGCCCCAGAAGCAGGAAGGGTGCTGTCTCCCTGTTCATGGTGGCCAAGCTTTAGCTCTCTGTGCCACCCCATCTGAGGTCCCAGGGATCCTTCCGCCGGCCTCTGCTCCCAGCAGGCTCTCCAGTCCCGCTCTCAGTGGGGAGGGTTGTGTGTGAGCCTGGAGACCCTGGTCTGACGCAGTGGCTGGTCAAGGCCCCACCCCACTTCTCCCTGAGGCGAACAGCTACCAGTGCTGGGGGCCGACAGCCCAGATCTGGAGGCCCGAATGTCAGGCTGTGGGCTGGGTCTCAGTCCCTCAGAGGCTCCGGAGAGTCCTTCCTGCGTCTCCCAGGTGCTGGTGCCCCAGGGAGTCCTGGGCACTGCACCCCAATCTGCACCTCCGTCTCTTCCCCTCCTTTCCGGATGCTCTTATCTTGGAATCATTAATCAGGGCTGCAAACACCCCATTTCCCATTTTTGTGACAAAAAATGTCACAGCCTGAGATTAAGGTGGGCCTGAACTGTGGGGGGGACACTTGAGGCAATGAGACCCAGGACAAAGTTCAGGCCCTGGTGGGAGAAGGAGTGAGCTGGGCAGGGCAGAGCACAGCCCCTTCTCCTTCGGGGGTGACTTCCCCTTACCCTAAGGCCCACGACCTTTGGAGGGCTGCCGGGGGACAGCATGGGACAGCCCTTGCCGTCCTTTCCCTGCCCTGTGGGGTGATGATCCAGTGTGTGTGAGAGTCCCAGCCGCTCCTCCCTCACTTGGGCCGTCCATCTGTCCATCTGCCTGTCCACCTGCTAAGTCTAGGAACTTCCTCCCTCAAGTTGGTCCCCAGCGTCCTGCCCCTCCTCAGGCCTCTGTCCTCCCTGGAGCCCACCTTGAATGACCCCCATAGCTGTGACGTGCCTTGCAGGACTG